GCGAATTTGAAAAAGTTTTCGAGTTCAAAACTCGACAAGTTTAGTTCATTTACCCATTCCTTTGTCGGCTGAAACATGTAAAATCGTTGCAAAGAAGGCGAGTCAATTNAATCATCAGTTGTCAGTCCACACAATCTTGATAAAAGATATAATCTCGCTGCAACAGATCTAGTCAGGAGTGGTCGTGCTAAGCTTTCTACAACATACACAGTTTCCTATATTGAAGTTTGGTTGTAAGCGAGAGTAACTGTGAATTTTCCCTTACAGTTCATCCTAAAATTGCATGGACCCAGAAGCACTTTATCAGTAGGCTTAAGCTGTACTGTATCTGCAGATCATTGTTAAGGAAGGTGTTGTATGGGAAGACAGTTACATCTGCAACACTGTCAAGCTTGAAGTTAACTGTTTTCCACAAGAGTGGGTGCAGTCCATAGTAACTTTGTGGGGTTGCTTTGGACTTCACTAACATGCACGATTTCTCCTAGGAGGAAAGATTCTTCTTCAACAACTTCAAATAATTTTCCTGGTTGTGAACTTTTACAAGCTTGCACCCAATGACCAGTTTTTGAACACTTGTTACACTTGGAGAACTTTGCAGGACGTGTTTTCTTTGGGTGCAAATTTCCAAAGCACCTTGGCACTTTTGATCAGGATTTTTCTCTTTGGAGCTGTTGGGAGGTTTCTCTTTAGACTTGTCTTGTGATTTTCCTTTTGCGATGCCATCAGCGTGCGCTGGAGTAGAATTGAATCTGCCGTCAAGAATGTTTTGTTGTTGTTTCACTGTCTCTCTTTGTCTCACTAAATTTGTAGCTTTTTCCAGGGTGAGATTCGGATCTAGTTGAAGTTTTCCCGAAATTTTGGGGTTTTGTAATCCCACAACAATATGGTGTGAATGAGCTGTTCTTTTTAACGCACCAAAATTGCAGTACCTTGCCAGGCCATACATATCTGTGATAATACTATCCATTGATTCTCCCGTTTGTTGACTTTTTGAGTTGAATTTTGCTCTTTCAAAGATGACATTTTCTTTTTATGATGAAGTGATTTTCGAATTATTTTGTCCTTCATTTCTTCAAAATTCTTCTCCTGTTCGACGGCGTTGAATTAGAATGAGGTGAATATATCGTCGGCTTGTTCACCCATTGTGTGAAAATTAATATTTTTACTTGATTTTCACAGGTTTTTTTATCAAGCCCAGTAGCTTTGTGAAATCTCTCAAACCTTTGAATCCACTGTGGCCACTATTCCGGTTTGAAAGAAAATTTCTCCGGTGGAGTTTAATACCGGAAAATTAGGAACCTGTTGGAAGTTTGGCTGGACAACTTGCGGTTCTGCTATCACAGGTTGTTCTCCCGCGCCCACCAATATGCTGGGAGGATTTTCTTGGTTTTTGGCTTTGTGGTCTGTTATTTCCGCGCTGTTTTGCTAGTTCATCCCTGGCTACCCAGAACTTGCCAAGGCTGTTCATTCAAAGGCACAATAACATAGCATCAGAGATCCACTGGAAGGTGTGCCAGAACTATAATTTTTTATAAAATAACTAAGATGGTACATGCGCTCTGATTGGCTGAGAGGAGTGTTTGCATGAGAGTATGTAAACATGGTTGTGGCGTCAAGTTGTTTGGCTTTTCGCGCGCTAATCACGCAAGCGCGAATTTGAAAAAGTTTTCGAGTTCAAAACTCGACAAGTTTAGTTCATTTACCCATTCCTTTGTCGGCTGAAACATGTAAAATCGTTGCAAAGAAGGCGAGTCAATTTTTCTTCGCTTAAGTTGACATTTTAAGCGAGAAATATCCGTATTTTGCACAGCATCTTTTTGCAAAACAAGAACTGATTACGCGTTCAAGACTTTGTAGACAAGATTTTGCGACTGGTAAGAATTTCTCTTTTAATCAGTGCCATACAAAGAGTTTTGCGTTTTTTTCTCGGGAAAGTTATTGTATAAAAGCAATAGAAAACTTTTTTCCTGTGTTTGCATAGCCTGATATAAACACTCGAGGCGTTGGGAGAATTCTCGACGGTTATGCAAACCCTCGACTTCGTCTCGGGTTTGCATAACTGTCCCGAATTCTCCCAACTCCTCTCGTGTTTATATCAGGCTATGCAAACACAGAAAACGTTTTCTATTTCTTAAATAACAGCTGTTGTAGAAAATGAAGAGTCAATGATTTTGTGTAATATGCCAGTTCACACTGATAGAGAAATACACATGTGGTGGCTAATAAACCAGACAAAAAATAATCGTAAGTGATGTGAATAAGAAATACCAGATTATACTGTAGAAAATGGTGCTCTTTCCAGGGGAGTTGACAGATTTTGCCTAACTTGCCAAAACAAAAAGTTGACAAAAACCATGGAAAAGTATATTTAAAGTGAACTCTTTGTTATCAAATGTCCATGCTTTCGACCCAGTGCATCAGTGATTAAACAAACAAGCCAAGGATTATAAATGATGATGATGATGATGTTGATGATGATGTTGATGATGATAATGATATATTTTTTTTATTTGTATATTTATAGTCTTATTCAACTTTGAAAAAAAAATGTACTTAATTTACAGAAATATTTGAAGTAAGAATTAAGCGCTATATAGCATTAAGAATTATATAAATCATAAAAATAGCAATCACTGTGTCAATAACGATTTCGCAAATACATGTACATTCCTTGCAGCTCAGATGCGGTCAATAACTCTTGCAGGCAAACAGGCATCAGGGGCTTTGTTAGCGCCATGATTTAATGGTGCTAATTAATTTTTGATGATAATAATAATAATAATAGTAATAATATTAATAATAATAAAATAATATTAATCATTTTTTATTCCTAGGTCTGCAGTTTAAGACAGAACAAGGCCAGCATATTTTAAAGAACCCTCTTATCATAACCAGTCTTGTAGAGAAGGTTTGTTTCAATACTTTCATTTTAAATCAAGCTGTTGGCCTACCTGTACTTGTACCATTCTTGAGCAGCTTTTAAATATCTTAGAGATCAATCTTCATGTTTCAGAGCTGTCACTAAGATTTCAGTTTGCTGGATGTGAAATTAGTAGGCTTGGAATTGAACAGCTAGGAAGTTCTTTTGGCTCTGTTTGTCCATTAATTTTGTTTTCTATGAAAGAATCTGGGGGTCATGCTCACATTGGCCATCAACTGAGGGGAAATCCCCGGGCCCCCAGCCCTTAGTGACAGCCCTGTGTTCTATTCTGACATCATTAATTTTTGTTGAGTACAAAGTATTCCACAAAATAATGTAAGAATAAAACATACATGTAGGGCTGCAGACTGCTTCATGGAACTGTTTACATATGACTCTTTTTTTTTTATTACAGGCAGGTTTACGTTCTACAGATACTGTTTTGGAAATTGGTCCTGGGACAGGGAATTTAACAGTGAAATTATTAGAGCAAGTAAAACAGGCAAGATTGTTAATAGCATTATTTTGACTTTTCAGGTTTGAATATTGTAGCAACCTACATGTAATTCATAACTAAGATACAAGAACAATGTACTGTTAAGTTGAAGTTTAGAACTGCTTATTTCATAGAAATTTTGCTTTTTTGTTTTCTTCTTTTGCCACTATTTGGAGTGAAAGGCTGTTTTTTTTTTTGAGAATTGAATCTGTTTTGTTCAATTTAATGCTAATTTTAGATTTCTTGTTTGCGTTCTTGTTTCATGTTAAATCAAGATAATTATTATTCATACCTTGAATAAGCTGTCTGTAAAAACACCTTGCCAGAAGTGATGTTTTTCTTTTAATACAGTGAAGCATGTATAAGGTGGACGCCAAATTAAGTGGACAGTAGCCAAAGTCCCCAAATTTACTTGAATTTCTATATTTTTATTTAATTTAATCTGTAAATGAAACCTTATTAAGCAGATGTGGACAGTTTAAAAGTGGATGTAATGGTTATTTCTATTGTTACAAACCTGTATTAAAGGTACACTTCCACCATCCAACCTGCCAAACACATGAGGCCAGTTATTTAAATGGCGCTGTTTCGCCAGTGTTCAACAAAACTGCATTTTAAGCCATTGTCCATTAATTTTGCCGAACATTTTTTTTTATGTAAAGGCCATTTATCGGGAACAGTTTTATGAAAGAATTTGGGGTAGACTAGAATTTGCATTTTTCGTCTTAAAATATCCCACTAAAGAATAGATTTGGAGGTCCAAAGATTTCCTAAACCACAGTCTAATTTAGACTTCATTAAATAACCCACCCATAAAATTTTAAGATTTCCACTCACAAATTTGTCAATAGTAAGGAGGTACTTGACAAACGATGTAATAATTTGCATTAAAACATACACGTGATGTTATTATTGTTAACACTGTCAAATACTCAAGGAGAATGAAACATTATATACACGTACACATTCACAAAACTTTAAAGGCTAGTGTACAGTAAAACAATGCTTTGTTGGTGAGTTTATCTTTTCAACAGTTACAAGGAAGGCACTGAGTGACAATGTCATGCGTGCTCACATTAACCTGTTGACCAGTTTACAGTACTATTATCTCATTTCATTTCATTTGTTTGTATAGAGCTTATTTTACTCATTTTATCTCTTAAATTTTGAGGTGCAATCTCCATTTAGTATTTTGTATATTTATTGGGCCACTGAAATAAAGAAATTAGTGTAAACATAGTTATAATATATGTTATTAAAATTATTATTGTCACTCACTGTGGGAGTATTCCAAATGTTTTCATTGTTCATTTGAATGTTATTTGCTACTCATATAGTATTCTCTATCAAAACCTGTATAAGGTGGACACCTGTATTAAGTGGACACCAGAGCAATCCCTGAGGGTGTCTTCTGAGGTTTTGCTGTATTATTCAGATCATTAAAGATACAGTGTGATCATTATCTATTAGGTTATTGCTTGTGAAGTTGATCCTCGGATGGTCGCTGAGCTGCAGAAGAGAGTTCAAGGAACGTAAGTGAATTCCTTAAACATTATTTTACTAGATAACATCACAATACTGCTCCTGTTAAGTTCTCTTGTTTTCAGCAAACTTTATTATTGCCTTATTATTATCTGTCTGGTCAAATACCCTTAAGTGCAACATAAGAAACTACAGTTTTCCCAGAACTTTGCAGCACGAATTGTACTTAGTCTCAAAAAAGTTTGATCACACTTCACAGGGAATAAATCCTTAAGCTGGCTACCTGTTAGTGACAAAGTTTACTTGAACAACGCTGTAATGAGGTTTAATTGTACATGTATAATCAATCTTGTTCCTTATTAGTTGGCCGAGAAATTTAGCTGACCAAGTCAAATTTGCATGAGAAGTACGAGACAGAATAGTCAGCTGAACATTTCGAGATGCCATGGAGCTGTTGGTCAGCGATCCTTCTATTACCCAGGGGCAAACCTTTGAAATGGCATGAGTGATACTGTTAAATCAACTGACCCAGTTAACATCTTTACTGTCAAACGCAGAAAGCCGTGAATGGCTGAAAAATTTCAGGAAAGTTAATTGTGTAGTGACCAATCACAATGAAGTTCAAGACATGTGAGCAAACCACAAAACCACAAACTAACTATTCTTGCTGTTTGTGGTTTAGGCTTCTCATGCCTTACTGGCTTTCTCTTCGCAACACAAAAACATTCCATGAATATTTCTGGTGTTCACGGTTTTGTGAGTTTCACAGTAATTCTTACATTTGTTATATTGGTTTTGTTTTTCACAATACGCAGTGGACCTTTTTATTGGACCAATTTGCTAGGTGTTATTGTGAGCAAACCACAAAACCACAAACTAACTATTCTTGCTGTTTGTGGTTTAGGCTTCTCATGCCTTACTGGCTTTCTCTTCGCAACACAAAAACATTCCATGAATATTTCTGGTGTTCACGGTTTTGTGAGTTTCACAGTAAAAGGTGACTTGTAAAACCACAGGTAGCCCAAGCTGAAAATATGAGCATCGGCGAGCATCGGCATTGTTGCGTAACATTCAAAATATAAGGATTTGTATAAGAAAAAAAAACCTACATGTATCACGTCTGTAACCTACGAAAATGAAAGGATTTCAATAAAAAACAGCTTACCTTACTTAAAATGTGTGTTACGTCTCTCCTGTGTGGTCCACGGGCCGATTTATGGCCGTTTTATGGGTTTTTATGTAAACGTTTTCTCTCTATATAAAGGCTTAATATATAGAGAGAGAAAACCGTTTTTTCTTTGTTATTTTAGCATCTAACATGACTTTGTTCTGCCATAGACCTCAGGCAAGCAAACTCCATGTAATGGTTGGTGATGTACTCAGGACAGATTTGCCATATTTTGATGTGTGTGTAGCAAATCTCCCTTATCAGGTAAGGAGTGATTTATTTATAATACATCTACAGGCATAGACAAAACATACCACTTGTATCTCAGTATAAGTCTGTTTATGATGTCAACACCCTCCAGACCTACAAGAGTGTTTGTATCAAGTGCCACACTTGTCGTGTTAGTTATTAAGCAAGATAAAAGAAGCCAAGCATAACACTTTTGAAATGTTTGAGACATCTAACTCAATAAAACTGAAAACCATGTTCACGTTCAAATGATTATAAGCTTTTTCATTGAGTCGGAGGCACATGTTGAGATGTACAGTCGACTCCCAGGCAATAACTCGAACCTTCAAGGGAAATTGAACAGAGCTTTGAGGTATCAGGAATTTTAGTTATCGGGAACTTAAAGCAAATGGCCGGACATAAGGAAAAAAAACAGTTTTAACTGTACGGTGAACATATTAATCACATTGAATATAATTGTAGAAATGTCAAGTGAAAATGGAGTGATGCATCTAGATTATAAATCAGAACGACAAAACAGAGCCTAAATAGCCTAAATAGTGCATGCATTTTACTGTTAGCGCGGGGTTGGAGTTGGCAAGACTGCGACTCATCGGTAGTCAACTGTGGTCGATAGCTGAAATGTAATAAGCTTAAGCTATTTATACAACAGTTAAATTTTATTGTGCTGTAAGAAAAAAACTGAGCAAGAACGTTGTTTGTTTATTGCTTGTGTGAGTACGAACTTTTCCATGGCATTCAAAAACTTGTCAACCCCCAAAAGGCAAAAACAAATGAGATTCTGAACCTAGAGCTAGAAAAAGTAGTGAGAAATGGGTATAAAGTAGTGAGATGTCCCAAATTTCCAAGTGGAAGGACTTCCAGCGGGGATTATGGGTTAAAGCTGGAGCTGTAAACATCACAATCAATTTTACGATGTAGGTTTTGTAATTTCTACGTTTTGCTGGCGGCCATCTTGAAACATGAGAAACAGTAAGTCTGCGCATTTGGTGGCAGCGGCAAGTCGCGGTAGGCTAAAAGAATGTAATCAAACGTGACTGCGAAAGGTTCTCCTTGGATTGAGTTGGCTATCTATCGATACCTAACTTGGACACGAACCCTACAGCGCCAAAATTTTTTTCTGAGTTGGAATTTTCGAGAAAGTGTGAGAGATCAGTTGCCAACTCATGAGAACGTGAGATACGTCGTGAGACTTAGCAAGTCTGCATCACTGATAATTCAGGCTTTCACTTTCTTACCTTTATGATTTTCCTGAAAAGTAGGCAGCTCGAAACTTGAAGTAGCCAGCCAGTTCTTTAGTTAATTGTCGGCACTTAATAATTGTATTTTAGTATAAAACCTGCAGCCAAGGGTTTCTCGCAAACACTTAGTGTCTTGGTGTTAAGAAAAATGATTTCCTTTATTCAAAATACCACTAATTTTGTTGTTATCATGTTCTTGTGTTCACAGATTTCATCCCCATTTGTTTTCAAGCTTCTTCTTCATAGACCTTTCTTCAGGTAATGGCTGTTTATTGGTTTGTACCGTTTTACCAGGCCCTTGCTAACAGATTACAGTAATGAGGCACTATTGATGACTGTTTCATTGAATCCTTGAATGGATCGACTCAAGTTTCCTCATAGGCCCCAATTGGTCATGGTGGTCTGTCTTTCTTAGTTGATTCTTAGGCAGAGGTATTCACGCTTTAGTTGTCACGATACTAAGGTCTTAAAATTGTGTTCTCAAACTCAGTAATAAAAATATATATTATTCATGAATTGTCACCCAACCAGAACGCCTCTTTCTGGTCAGGTGGATGAGTTTAGAAACCCAATGAAAAACGAGTTGAAGACCATACCTGTTCAGAAACGATTTCAAACCCATGTGTAAAATGTTTCTTAATCTGCATATTCATACAGCAAGAGCAACGTATGAAGATGAAAAACTTAATTTAATCATAGAGTTGCAATACACTTTAGAGGAAGCTTATTTACTGCTACCTTTGAGTGTAACCTTATCAACGCATCAAAATGAATAATGACAAATGCCATATAAAGCAACACCACTGCGTCTTTTGCCCAAAGCATCGAGAGGATTAAAATCCTACTTCTCATTCTTTCTCACGATGAAACGGCGTATTCCGCACACAATATGGTGTAACGTTTTGGCTGGATATCTTTCCTTTGATGGTTTGGCAACTTCTTAAATAAATGAAGGCTTAAAGCATCTTTTTTAACTAACGAAACTTCCAAGGACTCAGCTTTGTGCAGATCATAATGTTTGAAGAGACCACCCGGTTTCAACGTTGCAACTTTACGAAATCGAGCTCTTCGCCAATCATCAAAAATCCCAGCCGCCCTTTTTGTTTTATATCGGGTAGACATACGTATAACGCTGGCCACACACGTTTCTTCTTCTTCGCAAGTCTTAGGACATCCAAATCTGCACTCTACCATGTGTATTGTGAAGCAACGTGTCTGCTCAGAAGTCACAAACAGCATTGAATGCAAATGAAATAATGTAATCACACACCAGTGGGTACCAAGTAGGTTACAGGTTCACAACTCAAATAAAATGTGTTTGAATTAAGAAAAAGTATTAAAATGATAATTTCTACTAATTTTCTTCGTTGGAGAAGTAATTTCCAGGAACTCGAAAACAATAATGAAATCACTCGGCCTGCGGCGTCGTGGTTTCAAATGTTTTATGGCGTTTGGTAACCTGATGTAACCATCCCACTCGTTTTTGAAATAGTACTCAAATCTCAGCTTTTGCTCATGACATTCACAAACAGCAATTATAACATCACTATAGTAGAATATTTTCCTAACCAAATTAAATAAGGTGAGTTGCTTCATATCTCCTTGTGCACGCTGATGACATCAACCAAAAAAAACTGTTGCTTGTGTTTGTGAGCCCTTAAGCAATCCTCCTATTAATTGTGTTTGTAACTCTGATCAATACACACTGAACTGTCTACCATGTTATCTATAACATAACCTAAAGAGAAAAACTTGAATTTGCTAAGGCCTGCTAACAGAATAGGGAAATGAGATGAGTGTTGTAGTTCTGCAAATCATTCTCCACTTTTCTGCCTTGATGTTTTCTTGAAACTTATCCATTTCAGCTTTCTTCCGGTGTGTTTTTTCCTTTGTTCCTTCAGCCACTTTCTCTGAACCCTCGTGCGAATTACACGATGGGTCTGGATGCTTAAAGATTAGACTTGCCCCCAGGTCCTCTGCGAATTTATGTGCTTCAGCAATTAGCAATGAAGGTCATTTCTTGGCCACTTTCTCTTCAACCTTTTAGCGGCCATCATGGAGGGGTCTAGGTTCTGATACAGTTTTACTTAATTTTTGTGAGTTTCAATTCCTGCTCAACTGATCGCAACCCCTGCCCTCCCTTGTCCATGGTTCGTACAATCTTGAAAAGGTCTTGAATTTTAGTAGTCGTCTTGAAAATCCTTGAATTCGGTTAAAGTCCTTGAAAAGTAATTAATTTCTTTAATAAATATTAGGTATTAAAAAGTCCTCGAAATTCACTACCTTGTCTACGCCCGACACAATTTTGTGTAAAATTAGATTTTTTTGCCGCTGAAAAGTTGGCTCATCCTTGGTGTAAGAAGCTGTAAAACTCACTGATAACGTAAAAACATTTTTGTGCATAAACAATATTTTATTTCTGCTCCGTTATTTCGAATGCTATTTCTGTACCTCAGATGCAATTGCAAGTCATTTTGCAAAGTGTTGTTGCGTAAAGTATAAAATAACGTGATCAACCATGGCAGAAGAAGTTAAAATCGTAAATGACTCCATGACGTGTTTTAGCCATGCATGAGGTGTTCAAAAGGGGGTTAAAGAATGCCGATTTATTAAATAAATCTTAGTCGTTGAAAACTATTATTTGTCCTTGAAAAAATCCTTGAGAAGTAGTTGAAATTTGTATGTCTGAAGTTGTACAAACCATGCTGGTCTCTTGACAGGTGCAATTCAACCGTCGAGCTGAGTGGGTGTTTGCCTCCACTCTCATGAATGATCTTTTTCACCTCTCTGTACATTGATCTAAGCTCAGTGATGGGCCAGTGCTGGGTCAACATCAAGTAGGTAAATAAAGCACGGGAAGAGGAAACTGGTTAGGAGTTTTAACACGGTTGACACCGGAAATAGGACAACTGCAAACTACCGACATCCCTTAGATAAGCCTTTGCCGCAAGCTCAGGAGTCTGCTTTTCATCCTGCAACACAGTCTTTCACATACTCCTTGAAACTTGTAGGTAGAAATCGCCTTCAAACTTGTCAACAACTGCCATTTGATCCTGCCTGAGATCTGTTGTGTGATGCACTAGTGATTCTCTCCTGACATTTATGACGTTGCACCTCTCGGGGTTCCAGTTTGGAGTAGGGAAAATGAATGAAAATCGTCAGTCAGCGACTGCTTAAGCTCTGAGCTTTCCACAACCTTTGCATCACTAACTCCTACTTCGAGACAAAACCTCAGCACAAAGTCTCTTGGAGACACTGGCATTCAAGGCACTGGCACCAACTGGATCTGATTCTGGTTTGGCCACTGCGGGACAGAAATGGGAGAAACATTACTCCCACCTCTACTCCAGAGAGGACATCGTGTTGCCCACAGCACTTTATGCTAACGAATGCCTACCATTCATGAAAGAGCTAGATGCAGAACTGACCGTGGAGGAGCTCAGCAAGGCCATATACAGCTTAGCCTCTGGCAAGAAATCAGGCAGTGATGGCATCCCCCCAGACCTCATCAAGCACTGCAGGACCACCCTACTGCAGCCTTTACATGAAATTCTCTGTCAGTGCTGGAAAGAGGGAGCAGTACCACAGGACATGACGGATGCCAAGGTCGTCACTTTATACAAAAACAAGGGTGAAGGAATTGACTGCAACAACTACATAGGCATTTCCCTTCTCAGCGTCATCGGTAAAACCTTTGCTTGAGTCCTTCTGATCCGCTTGCAGAAGGTGGCTGAGCGCATCTTCCCCGAATCACAGTGTGGCTTCCGAGCCAAAGGTTCTATAGTAGACATGGTCTTTTCTCTCAATCAACTCCAAGAGAAGTGCAGAGAGCAGCAGATGCCACTATATGTTGCCTTCATTGACCTTACCATGGCCTTTGACCTTGTCAGTAGAGACGGCATCTTCAAAGCACTCCGAAAGATTAGGTCCCTCTAAAACTACACAGCTTGATCGAATCCTTCCTGTCCAACATGAAGGGAACAGTGCAGTTCAACGGCAGTTCATTTGAGCCTTTTGAATTATGCAGCGATATAAAACAAGGCTGCCTACTCTCCTCTGACCGTGGAACTTGGAGAAACACTCTCCACAAACAGCTAAAGCTGGGCGAGATCGTAGAAAGTATCCCACCACCAGACCTGAAACCACACACAGAAACGACCTCTTCGACAGACTGTCTCTCAGATTTGCCTGTTTAATCACAGGCGACACTGCTCAAGCCGAGCTGACAGCCTGGACGGATCTACCTATGGTCGAACCTGACCTATGGGGGCCTATTAATGTAACCATGTCCTGCATTGCAGAGTTAGTAGATCTTAAAACTGTGATCAGCTTGGCTGCAGATGAAGCATACAGTTCTGTACACGTTGAGATCGTCCATAAACAGCAGGTGGGTTATATTGGTGCTTATTGGTCTGAATAACCTATACCCTGAGTTGCAGAAAGAGACCTGGCAACTGGATTTTAGTACAGCGCAGAGACGAGGACAGTAGGCGTCACCTTGAGGAAGACCCCTATTGAATCTAATAGTATGGGAGACCCCATTTCTACCATAGTGACAGCCACTAACTTGGTGTTCTAACTGGGGACTACTTGTCTTATCACTCTACAATACCAGTAGGGGAAGCGGTGGAATTCCATAATATTAGCCATGGAATCATAAGCTTCCTTCACACCCACCCTGGCCGTACTCACGTTTGGCTTTCCTCTCTGACAGTTCATGGTGACCATTCTGTCAATCATTAGATTATCTGCATCCTTCTTTGGCGCCTCTTTGACCACGCTCCATCAAGTAAAACTCACCAAGATGATTGTCCATGGGGTTCCAGGAGACAAGTTGTACAGATAAAGCACTTATGGGTGTTATTTAGACATGTTATCGTTACTGGTTCTCATTCAAGAACTCTCCTGGTTTAGGGATGAGCCTGGTTTTACCCTCTGCGAACCAAGTGAGATTATCCATGTTGCTCTCAGAGATGGACAAGAAAGCTTGTGTTACACCCCAATGGAGTACATGTGCAAGCTTCCACCAGTAGGTTACTAGCGTGTTGGGTTCAGAAGCCATTTCGCATTCTTGTTACCAGTCCCACTCTTCTCCCACAGATCCGCCCAGAAGCTGCACACCTGTTCAATAGCCTCAAACATACTACTGTCATTGCTTTCTGTACTAGCACTATTAGGTGTTTGGTACTTGGGGTACTTCTCTTCCCCAATGTACAATGCACTAAACTGCATAAGCCTGTCTTGTGTCTTTTTCATTTTGTCTTTTTTATCAACAGAATGAAAGTTGCAACTTACCAACCATAAATACCCAAAGGGTTTTCTTTTGGGGAAACTGAATTTTGGTGCATTAACTTCCCGGTGGTCCCGTTTATGTTTTAAAGAGCTTTTTCAGATGGCCATGTTTTTGTTCTGGGATCAATTTTGCAGCTCGTATTCTCACCTGGCTGAGAGTTAATCAAATTTTATTTAGGCTCATGGGATCGCAATTCTAGTTTAATTTACTATGCAAATCCATTATTATTATTATTATTATTATTATTATTATTATTATTATTATTGTTGTTATTATTATTATTATTATTATTATTACCGTTCTTGTTATAATATTATGTCCAGCTGTTTATGTCTTTAGTTAAGATGCTGCTCTATTACAGCTGTATGTACTGATTAGCAGCTTCTCTTCTTTTCAAGTTTATTTATTTATTTATTTATTACAATCTATGGATTAAAAAACCAAAGGATGAACTGTAAAGGAGTCCTAGACCCCATATAAAAACAGATCACCTAAAAATATATAGAAACACAATAAAATAATAGTTTCAGAAAATACAGAAATCTAAAAGCTACGTAAAAATAACTGAAAAATTTCCTAACTCTAGACTTGAAAATATTTACATTAAAGTTGGTTCATTCAGCTCTGTGAGACTGACATAATGAAGTAACATTACTTTTTTTGAAAATGACTTTCATTCTTAAATGTGCAGGTGTGCAGTTCTTATGTTCCAGAGAGAATTTGCTCAGCGATTAATTGCTCAGCCTGGAGATAAACTATATTGTCGCCTGTCAATCAATACTCAGCTGCTCTCCAGGATCGACCACCTCATGAAGGTACCTTCTATTAAATCAGTGCAAGAGAGGGTAAAGGACTCGATAGTTCATACCACATATTAACCCTATAATCCATTTTAATACTCGTATGTTATGTTAGATCTAGATAAGAATTTTGATTCCTGGGAGGATTAGAGGGTAGCCAATCAGAAGTCATCGATTTATCGATGTTGACAGCTGAACAGATTTATCCTCTCTAGATCACAGATTAATTAATAAGTACTGGTAATGTTTTGTTTGTGTATGTGCATAAATCTGGACGTCTCTCCATGCAGTTATATACTAAAAACATTCTTCTAGCATCATGCAAAAAAAAAAAAACAGTAGCATACATGTAATTATATCAACTTTTTAGTACCATATGATTGAAACTTGACAGGTTGGCAAAAATAACTTCCGTCCTCCCCCAAAAGTTGAATCCAGTGTGGTCAGAATAGAACCCAAAAATCCACCACCACCTGTTAATTTTAAGGTAAGTTTTCAAATTCCTACAAATTTTGTGATCAGTAGAGAATTAGTAGCGTTATCATTCAGTAAGTTCTCTTTTCATAGCCAAATACAGTCTGTCTTGTAGACATTTTTTTAAGAAATCGTACGTGTGTATTTGCTATTAAATAAAAGAAAATAAAGCTTGATGTAATTGTCATATTTTGGGAAAAATATAAAAAGCCCTAGGCCGGGGTTAAAAATACTCTATGCAATGCTTAAAAAATGTGCCTACATCTACTTCACTTTTCCGATCACATTTGTGATTTCTGCCCCGCTAATGTCAGTGTTCAACTCATGTTTAATTGTTCTGGAGCCTCTTACACGTAAAACTGCTGAACTGCTGGTTCAGTGAGAAATCGTTCGGCTTATCTGCCATTCCCTCCATATGGTGAGACAGGGCTGAAGGAGCCATGCTCGACTTCAATAATTCGCTGGTTGTAGTGTCGCTTCATTGCTCGAGAAGGCCTTGTCAATAAAGCTTGATTGCATTGTGTAAGTTGCTCTGATCATCTAGCTCAGACCACAAGCAGGTATTCCTGTGTTCAACTGGTTTTTTATTCTGCTTAGTTCAACTGGGTTTCCTTTTGACAGATTTTTTTAAACCTTGTCTTGTTTTGTAAGTAGTTGATAAAATGTGCTTAAGTCTCTTTGTATTCCTCTGCTGGTCCATCCCATTTTAAGACTGGGTCATTTCCCAAACAATAGGTGTAATTTGTTAACTCCAGTATCTTTGAAATTCTCTGGGAAAAATAGAAAGGGACAAAATGAAACTCAAAATCGTGGTCCCAGAATATGAAAAAAGTGTGATCTTCGTGTATGGCAACATCACTCAAAGTCTATCAAGATTTTTAAAGAGCAACTATCATCACATGACAAATCATAAAAGGAACATACAGGATAAATATGATGGTTTGATCTTGTCTTCAATCTACGTGTTGTAATGACAGCAGGATTTTTCTCGAAAAGATGTGCCTACCTTACTTCTATAAATTGATTTTACACATTTCCATCCTATAATACAAATCCGATCGGTTAGTACCGTTACAATATGACAATAACAATTTTTTTTTACCAATTTTCTTTACGTTTGCAGGGTACAAAGAAAGTCAATTGAACACTGAACAAGAAAGACATTTTCATAAACAAACGGTTTGTTTATAAAAATGTCTTTCTTGTACAGGGTTTTTTAGGAGATGATGATAATATACTTTCAGTCTTAACTAGAGTCTTTTTGGGAGAAATACCAACTAGCGCGGAATTTCTTTCTTTACTGTACATGCAGACCACCTAAGCACTGAATTTTGTTTGAATTGTTACTTGATATTTATTCTTTTAGCTTAACACTTCTAACTTTTGTTATTTAAATGATAATAATAACGATGATAATAATAACAACCTGTTGCAGAAAAGGAACAGGCAGCAATTTTGTGGAATATGTCAATTCACACCGATAGAGAAACTAGTGGCTAATAAACCAGATATCATAGTCACTGATCAAGTAAACAAGAAACGGACCGACATACATCCGTTAAGGCAGTCGAGAAACTGTCTAAGTGAAAAGACCTAGAGATTGAAGTAGCCAGAATGTGGAAAATAAAAATAGAGATGATACCAGTTGTTGTTTTTTGAGCTTAGGGCCATTCAAAAACGGTTGGAAAAGTACGTTACAAAATTCCAGGCACAGCAAGCATCAACGAGCAAAAAATTACTCTTATGGGAACAGCTCATATCCTTTGAAGGGTTCTGTCAATTAAGTGAACTCTTTGGTTCCCAAGGTCCGTGGTTTGGACCCGGTGCTTCAGGGATTTTAATCCCTTGCTTGGCCACAATTACAAATGACTATTATGATTATTAAGTAATAATAGTAATAATAATAATTAAATAATAATAACAATAATAATAATAATCAGTCTGTTTACCTTTGACAGGAATGGGATGGTCTTGTGAGAATTGCTTTTGTACGGAAGAACAAAACCCTAAATGCTTGTTTTAGGTGAGTTGGCTCTTGTTTGCTAGCTGCAGCTCTAAGGAAATCATTATTACTTGGGCGGAGCGCCAAGTAGAGGATTCGCGACGTTCAGGAATGTCCTAAACTTGCTTCTTTTCGACAAGATTGGGCACGCAAAGTCCGTGAGTTTTCGGTTTGAGTCGGCTATTTGACGAAGTGATGTCGGGATTAGTTCGTGATACCTCGAGATCATTTCGAGTTCTTTTATTTATTTTTTAATTTTTCCAGGAAGAAATAATTGTTATTTTTGGCTTGCCCGGAGTTTGAACCGACTTACCTGCGACCCGTCAGATCAGATGAGACTCTAAGGGTGCGTTCCTTTGAGATGATCCCGATCAGGATCAGTGATCCGAGATCACTCGGATCATGGTAGATCAAATGAACCGATGAATCCACTCTGGACAAGGATTCATCGGTTCATTTGATCTACGATGATCCAAGTGATCTCGGATCGCTGATCCTGATCCGGATCATCCCAAAGGAACCCACCCTAAATTGAGGGATTAGCCGATTGTGTCACTGCGACCCAAGGTAGTTTGTAATGTGAAAATTAGCTATAATATCGTGCACTAGTGGTCCTCGTGCGGGAAATGGAAGAAAAGGGACAAAAATAATCGCTTGGTTGAATTGAAAATGATTGAAACGATAAATATTTTAAAAGGAGCAAGTGGCGAAAATTACCTGGTTTGCCGCTATCTTGACTTTTTGATTTTATTAATTCAACGATGGCCACAATGGCTACAAGCGTTGCTTCGCTTTCTTCGCAGCAAAAAAAGGCAAAGATCAATCATTTGTGGTCTTCTGAAATTATCAAGGAAGGGCTTTGAAGATTTATTTTTGTTTGCATGCTGCGTGGAACGAATTTTTCGTCGTGTCGCATCCGTAGGCCAAAAATGAATTGGGCAACCTTCCAAGTTATGACGCAACTTTAACCGCTGACTTAGGATATTGTAGTCTCGTTTTCCCATTTAGTTCAACGTGACGCGTTTGGATATCTTGGCGAGGATGGACAGTCTTTTGAGTTTTTTATCTTTTCTTCTCATTTTACCAGGCACATCTTTCTCCAAATATTGAGTTGTTTTGAAAGGTTTTGATAGGATTGGAAAGGTGATCGTTAGAATATCAATGTGTTTGTATCTTGCACGGAGCAGCCGTCAGTCTTTGAGAACATTTATCGTTTACATCACAGCTTTTTCAATGGAAAGGGCCAGAATAATTTGTGTGTTTCGTTTTCGTTAATATCATTTATTTATTTTAATTTTGACCCCAACATCAAACAAAACATTAGCCAATTTCATGATCAACGTAATTGACGCCTTACCCATGCCTTATACATCTTTAATCAGTACATCAGACTGATATACTCTTTCTTTTTGAAGCCTAGTGTAAAAAACGAGTAGAGAACTCTTTTTTCACCGTTTTTATTGTTATTCACCACCAGTAACCTCATATTGTCTTAGAGGACTCCTATTTTTGTAAGAGTTATTGACATCTCGTAAGTGTGGGTCATGAAAGTGGACAGGACTGTGTGACAGTGTTTAACATTATACAAAATTATGGCGATAAGCATTTTCAGCATTTTAATTCAACACAGAGATACTTTTTAGTTTGGAAGGTTTTTAAGCTAGAAACGGAACGATTTCTTTCGATATCTGGAGATAATCTCGCAAGTGATTAGAATTGACGGGTCTGGCTGCAGACAAGAGTATGAGCAATTTTGTCCGCTCTTGCTCTTATGTCGAGAGCCAAGAGATATCAGCACTTCACAAATGCTTTTGGGGGAATGGGTACGCTTTGACAATTGACTGAGCCATCATTATGACGATGCAACTATCTCTCAGAAGAATGAAAACCGTCACAGCCTGCTAGCAAGCTCTCCATTTAAGGGATATCGAGAGAAATCACTTGCGAGTGGTACACGAAAGGAGATGCGGAAGCAAGGTGCGGGGAAAGAATGTGAGAGCTCTTAGTTCCCTCCGCCCCTCACGTCTTCGCCGCTCAATCGCGCGTTCGCTTGCCACTGGGAATGGAGAGGTTGCTCTCAGTCCATAACATTTCTTGGTAGTCGTGCGCGTTCGCTATTCGGTGAGCCAGTTTACGTTCGGAATTGCGAGAAAAAATTTAAGCAAATTACCATACTTAGTAACGTCCACTTTAGCTTCCCGTCTTCTTGTTCACCCATTTTTGCGGCACTTACACGTGCTTGACACAAAAAGTCCTCACGTAAGCGTGATGCAATGACGCCCAAGTGTACGCTCCGATAGTGTCTTGTTTTGGTTTAGTTTTCAACTATAATAGTAAATAGCAAAAATTGTACAAGAACCAAATCCTGAATGAATGAAAAAAATTCATGTTGTCATTGGTGATTGTTTTGTTGTTGTTGTTGTTGCTGCTGAAAGTTTATTTGTAGATTTGTACATACAATAATTGACATGGATACATAAATCTGTAGCTCTAATCTTGACAAGGGACGTACAGTACAGGATTTGGATAAATGATAAGCAGTTTTGATGAGATTGAGCGCCTCAGGCTTAGAGAGAGGAGTGTTTCGAAGAACAAGCGAAGCAACGGTGATTCTTTTAAACATCGACTGGTATAAAATAATACATGTACCTGATAACCTGGATCATTTCTAAGGCATTACGGTCTGTAGAAAACAAACAAACCTTTGCTGCTGCTGTTAATTCAAGCACGTCATATTGTATGAATAATATTGTCCAGTAAATGGTGCGCTCATTTTAATCACTATTAGCATGTAATCACATTATTTGTTCTTTCGTTAACAGTTCAAGAGCTGTTACAGAAATGTTGGAGAAAAACTACAAGATTCACTGCTCATTGAACGATATAGTAAGCAATTTCTAAGAGTAAACTTGTTTGTTCGATTTTTTTTTTTCATTGTACTTAAAAGGTTTTTCTTGCACATTAATGCATTTGCTCTAGCAGAGGAAAAATTACCACTGTTTTATTTTAGAAGAGGGCTGGTGGGCCTATAGTAAGAGAGACTTATGGCACCGGAAATCCAAAATGTTTTGCAAAAAATGTTTATCTTTCAAACTGGTTATAAGGAGGCATTAGAGCGCTGGACGAGCAATTCACTAAACAAGCATTCCCCTATGATCGCTAGCTCGATTTGTTCACGGCAGTCCAGAGTTCAACTCCTAGACCACGCTTGTCAATAGCCAACTGGTTTGTCTTCAACCAACTAGGATTCTTAACCACGTTGATTGTTGCCTTTAAATTATTTGTTTCAGTCCTTTTCTCTGCCTCATTAATGGCCAGAGGGTAAATAATGGAATTGTTATCGTTCTTATTATATCCTTTTCAAATCGTAACTTACGAAATTCCTTCACAGAAATCACTTCCAAATTATAGATATAAGCTTCCAAACGATGAGAACGTAAGTTTCTTTCAAAGTGGCGAATCGTATGTCGTAAACGTGTTTAAAAAACTTGCAAATTAACTTCGTATTAAAGAAAAAAAAATTCATTCTATCCTTTTAGATGGTTGATGCGGATTTTGATATCAAAGAACAAGTCCAAAAGCTGTTAACAGAAGGAGGTTATGACAAAATGCGCGCCCGTACGATGGACATGGACGATTTCCTTGGGTGAGTACAATGACGAGACCTTTAAGACATAAACAACAAACTAGATATAATCTATTTATGACCAAAACGTACAAGAAAGAAAGTCGTATGATATGACAGAAGAATTCCCTCAACTCACATCAAACTGAATGCGACTTTTGTACCACCTACTGCGAAGTCACTGTCCTCTCCAGGGTAAGGCCAAAAAATATATTGAATAGCACTGGCTTTTTTCCCATGTATTTACTTTCATGGGCATTTTCGGTCATCCCAAGATTGGAGGTATGTAACTCACTCCCCTTCGCCATACTTCCTTCCCTCCGCAATCCACACAATTATCATTCTTTCTTTTCTCTTATTTTTTGTCGTTTATGCAAATTTACATTATTTTCATCATTCTTTGCCTGCCAATTCTTCTCTTTCCTCCCCTCCCCCTCTCTTTCCTTTCTCTTCCCTTTCTTAAGTCCACTCCCCTCCTTTTTTTCCTCCCCACTTCCCACCCGTTTCTCCTCTTATTTCTTCTTTTCCTCGGGTAGAATGATTCTAGAAACCGTTGTTCTTATATGTTGTTTTTTAATGTTTTATAATTTAAGTAAATGACGCTTCATTTTGATTTTCAGGCTTTTACACCTCTTCAATTCCAACGGGATTCACTTTACGTGATACCATCTTATGATTGCCATTTGCTGTGGTTATGTACGACAACGCTGCGTGTATCAGTTACCATAGCCGTGAAATTGCTTTCAGTCAGGCTAAAGTGAACAGTGTACCTTATACATACAAATAAATGGCTTTATTTGTCTTTCCAGTGCTCCGTAAACCTGTTATTTTTATTCTTCTTAAAATTATATGTAATACTCAGTCAGTGAGTATCGTACTTTGTTAAAGGATTATGGATAAGCACTTGAACTAGAACACAGTAGAACACTCTTTACTGCTGTATTTATCCATATTTGGGAGAAGTGCTTGGTGATAGCATTTTATTAAGATTAACGACTGGAGGTCGGAACAGTATTTGATTTGTCTACCATCAAAGCAGGCCTTAGTGTGGCCGTCGTAGTTGTTTGTCTGTGTGCGGTACTTTATCTCCTACATCTGTATTGGTTTGTCCTAAATGTAATAAATAAATGTGCTCTTTTCCTTCTCTCCGCCCTCCTCGGGAAATAAAGAACCAAATTTAACCTTTTCCGTTGAAGTAGTAATTCAGTTAAAACTAAAATTAAGCCACAGCCGACCCAAGAACCAGCTACGCTTGTGTATACATGTCCAACGACGTGCAATGACCGTGGTTTTTTTACAACTAAATATATGGTCAAATTACCTATATCAATTGAGATCAAATTAAATTAATTTACTGAAACAAGGGGAATTTAAAGTTGGGGTATTTTTTAGTAATAAAATGCTAGCCTGTTCCAGGCGTTCAGATAGTGGGGAGCGGTGCGAAGTAAAAAGGAGCGCGAAAAAATAAAAGCGAGGGAGGAGGAGAGGTGAGAGAGGGAACGCCTGTTAGATTTGTTTTAAATAGACTCTTCCGCCCACTCAGACCGCATCAGCTGTAGGTGGTCTTCACTTGTCAATCAAGACTGGTGTTACAGCCCGATGCATTTATTATTTTTCTTGCGAATAAATCGAAGTTTGTCAGATCAAAAATTAATATTATGTATACATAATCTTACTAAAAACCCAATGTAAGACTTTCAGACAATAGAAGGCGGGAGAAGTATTCATGTATAATGAATTTATTTACGGCTTTAAAACATGATTTCAGC